TGAGCAATGTGAGTGAGCAATGTGAATGAGCAACTGAGCAAAGTGAGCGAGTCGACTCACTTCGAAAAAAAGAACAAGTGAACATGTTCACCAAATTGAGCAACGTTTACCCAACACTAGTAGAAATTGACTTTTGTAGACTTGTAACAATATTCACATGAGTATTTCCCACGCAGCAGAGTTAAGCAGCTGTGCCAAAGCACAAGGAAATGAAATGCAGGAGAGTGGGTGAGAGAGTGTCTGCGTGTATACACTTGCATGTGTGTGTGTCAGTGTGCGTGACAATTATTGCTTGTCACTGTCTAGCATTGGCTCTAGCTCCACTTACACTAAAATCAAAGAAGAGAGGGAGAGCGAAAGGCGCTTTATTAACAGTTATGCGTATGTGCTGCTTGTAGCTTTTGCTTTGCCCAATGACAGCTGATGTGTAGAAATTGAGTTCTGTAGACTTGTAAAACTATTCAAATGAGTACGACTCAGCCTGCAGAGCTCAGCAGCTGTGCCAAAGCACAAGTAACTGAAATGAGGGAGAGTAGGTGATGGCAAGAAATATGCATTATTAGCATGTGTGCGTGTGTGTGGGTGTGTGTGGGTGTGTGTGAGTGCGTGTGCTTGACAATTATTGCTGGTTACTTTCTACCATGAGTTCTAACTCCACTGACACCAAAATCAAATGAAGAGAGTGAGAGAGAGAGAGAGAGAGCGAAAAGCGCTTTGTTAACAGTTATGTTTATGTTCATATGCATGCTTATTGTACTCTTTAGTATGATTTTCTGACACTGCACGCTCTCTTGATTAGTCGGAAGCATTTACCGCTATACACACAAGTATATTACAGTGGCTCAGAATCGACTATTTACGCAGTCAATGCGGCAGGTAACATGAGTACGCCAAATGCGGATTGCAGCAAAAACATTTCACGCATACCCCGTGGCCAAAGGAAGCGTGGGTATGCCATGGTATTATGTTACGCCTGGCAAATTGCTTTAGTCCCTGATATTTGACCCCCATTTGATTTTAACAGATTACGCTCAAAGTAACTAATTATAGCAAATGAGTTGTTGTACAACATTAAATTATAATTACGCTTGGCTGTGGGCTGGGTTATTCGATAAGTAGGGCGAGCAGGAAAGCCACAGACCACGGAAGAACACGTTCCTAAAACTAATTAAAATCAATGTTGTGTGCAATCAAATGGGGTTTTAGTTTACTTTTTCACAGTTTTTTTTTTTTGTTGATTGTAAAACATGACGCAGACATTTATTAGAGAACAAACTATAAATTAAGCGGGTAAGCCAAAAGTGATTAATATGTTTCACTGAAGAAATTCCCTTTAATCTGCTGAAAATTACGAGATTGCCATTTATAACATTAGTCCTTTATAAGAAAAGAAGGTGGCTATGGGAGAAGGACATTAAAATTCCTATATATCGGCTGTAATAAGCCTTGGAGAGAATCTGTAGTAGCTTGAATTGATTTTGATGGAATAAGTCTACGGAAACCTATATAAAATACTCAGATATACCTCAAATGTTCATATTTAATATTTACCCTCACATTCGTTATCAGATGTGTTGGGGCCTAGATATAGATAAGCTATAGACAGTAAGTAAGTAAAGTAATGTAAACAATAAACAATACAATAGGAAATATTCCCTATTGGCCAATGAAAGCCCTTACTACTCATTTCCCATATGTACAGGGTATATCCGCTACCTGATACTCACAGATATTTGAATTCAATTAAAATTTATTCGTTTTGGATCTCAAGTTTTTTTATTGAATTGTCAATTTGCATTGGCAGCTGCGCTCGCTCGTGATAATGATTTTCATCATGATCATGATCATTGGCATTCTCATTGTCGTTGGCATTTGGGGCCAGTGATGCAGCGACCCATTAGAGCCATAAATAGTCCGTAGGCACGCTTCCATTTGGGGCTGCCAAACTGGCTAACTGGCCAACTGGCCAACTGCTCAACTGGGCTAATTAATTTCCCTCTGCGTGACTTGAATGGGAAAGTCAAGTTTGCAGTGGGCGGCGGTTGGCTGCCTGTACTTGTATAATGCTCTATACCCTGTACTCGCTTCCTTTCGATTGGCAGCTGGCGAATTGAGTGTGAGTAATGATTAAATGCTTCTCTGGCCACGCCCACCCAATGATTCATGAGGCGTGAGCCAGAGGACACCCCGTTCTCTCGCACTCCTCGTCAGCCACGCGCTCTCTTAAATTCCCCCCAGACCGCAGCCCCGCTTAAGATTGATCAGTTAAAGCAGCAACACACACAGAAACACACACACACAAACACAGAGGCACACTCGTGCCTGCTTGCTCCTTTAAGTTGATAAGCTCAGGCAGCAGGCAAGTTAATCTGTAACTAGCTGAATTACACCAACACAAAAAAACACAAACACACACACACACCGAAACAGAGTATAAGAGAGTGAGCTGCGCTTTAAACTGAGCGCGAGGGGGGGTGGGCTGAGGCACATAAAATGCAGTGAGATATGGCGCAGTTCATTAAATTAATAAATATACTATGTATGAGCACACACACACAGACACATAGAGAGAGCAAAAGAGAGAGAGACGTAAGCGAGGTGCTTAACAGAATGGAGACTCTGGCAGACGGCTGACAACAACAGCAACAACAACAGTAAACTGTAACAATAACATAAATAAACAAGCTTTAAATAGACGTTGGGCCAGCCAAAAACTTCATCAGCTGCCAACAAAAGTTACAGCAACAACAACAACGTCAACGGCAAAAATCTCAAGGTAAATTATGCAAAAAGTGTTGGCCACGAGGGGAGGGACGGGGCGTGGCAGTACGGCACGGTCGTTTAGAGTTAGAGGCAGGCTAACGCATAAGTTCAAATTTACAAAAGTTAACAATGGCAACAGACGTCGCCAGTGCGGCTCATTGGAGAACTGGAGACTACAGTCCCAGAGCGTCTTAACTGTAGTTCGACGCTGGAGGCCAAATCAGTTGACAGACAGGCAGACCGACAAATTGTGACGAAGGCCAAAAAATAAGTTGCAAAGTTCAAACTTAATCAGATTTGCACGAAAATTGACGTTAATAGCCAAATAAACTAAGGCTATATTTAGATACATTTTTATAGTATTTTGGCTTGAGTAATTTCTCCCGATTTCAATTTACATACATATTTTCTAAGAGCTTTGATTGGCGTCATATGTTGCACTTGGTGCTTGCTGTCTCTTTCGCATTCATAATGCAAGTCTCCAGCACTCGCTCTCCACACGCTCTTCCACTCTCTCTCTCTCTCTCTGTCACACTCTTCGGTTCATGCTCAGCTATTTGGCACCTTGCAATCGCACGCGTTCATGACATAATGGATAAAGCGCAGTTTCGTCTCTGCTTTGCGCTCTGCCCGCATTTTGCTGACCGAATTCGATAACTGAGCGTGTTTACAGTTCTGCCCTTTATCTATAACTAATTGATAAGCTAATCGGGCCACAAAAACAAACTGAGCAATAATTTAGTATGTGACTCTTAGCTTAACTAGCTTACTTAAGACTTTATTCCACTAGACACTCACACATACACATATACAGAGATACACACACACACGCACACATACATGCACACATGGACACATTCAATTGACACTAGCTTAAGATAATACAAATAGCGCCTAGTTCAGCGCGTCCACACAGCCTCTTGATCGGAGGGGTAGAGTGGGGCAGCGTCTAGACCGTTTGGGTAGCCACATCGCGCTGGCAAGTGCGTTTATAAAAGCTGTAGGCCTCCAGGCCATTGATGCTAAATATCGTAAGACCAAAGAACTGCAAGGAGCACAGAGAGAAAGAGAGAGATGAGTTCAAATATGTATATGTACATACATATGTATATCTATTTTATGTTTGTATATGTAAGTATAAGAGACCGAAGCTCAACTCACCGCGGCGGCCGTATAAGCATTGACGCTCAGGCCGAGCACGAAGTTAGAGGCAAGGAAATGGGCGATGGCCAGGGTCGCGTGCACGCCCAGCGACCATGACGCCGAGTTCCATCGCCAGCTCTGACCGAGCCGCAGGTAACGGCAGAGCAGCAGCGTCAGCGTCACAGCGAAGCCAAGGAGAACGACGATTATGTAGAAACAGCCGCGATAATTGCTCAGCCGCACCGAGCTGCACACGATGCAGAGGAAACCAATGAAGGCGCACAGCTGAATGAATGGCAAAGAAGAAGAATAAGAAGATGAGAGTGTTGCCCGCTATTGCTGTTCTTGTAGGCGTGGCCGGTGAATTACTTACCAGGCAAACAATCTTTGAGATTCCGCGAATGCTGCGCAAATACTTGCGATCGTAGTCATGATTAACGGACATGTCCAGAGCAACGACAGTTGCCAAAAAGCAACACCAAAACCAAAACAAATCACGAAAAAAAAAACAGAAAAACAAAAGCACTACACTTGCTAAAAGGTAAACAGTTAGCAAGCAACAACAATAACAAGAAGCGCGGCCTGTGCCCACAGAAAATCACATTGCGTGCGGCAGCAAGCACAAAATGCCACTGGCGACGGCGAAACGACTGAAAGCTTAGAACAACAGCAGCGGCACGTAAGCGAGCGAGTCAGAGTGAGCGCGCAATACACAACTACATGCACACACACGCACACACACATGCCGAGAGAGAGAGAGAGTGAGAGCGGCAGGCAATCGACTTGCTCAATTCGTAGAGCGCACTCTGAGGTGCTCACAGCCAGCGGCCGTCAGTCGAAAAAAATTTGTACCAAAAACAAAACACGCTAAGTGTACCACTCTCACGCAATATACACTCTCATGTATACATATATAATTTCCGTGAAATTTGTGAGTCATCTAAACAAAATTATTTGAGACTATATGTTTGGTAAATTTAACGTGCAAACTACTTTTAATTCAACATATGAAATATACAGTTTAGTCATCACATTAAGTGTACCAATGCAACGATCTAGTGTACCATAGAGTACCAGTTTTGGTACATTTGTGCTCGCGGCTCTCTGGCGTGCATTTAGCTCTCTCTCTCTTTCGCTCTGTTTTTATTTTGTGTACTCTGATAAACTCACTCAACGCCAAACTTGCTTGGACAAGAAGCTTATCAGCTGTCGATCCGTTACGCTCAGTTCAAATTCGCAGCGCTGAGTGGCCTTCGGCCTTCGATACGCAGCATAGATAAATGAGTGCTTAAATCTGTACACATACATACACATGCAAGTGTATATGTAACTACTAATTTACGATTGGATGGATTCTCACTCTCGCGCTCATTGACGTGAGTCATTTACATGTGGAAATGCATTGCATACTCTGTGATTCATTCCACCACACTCCAAATATAAACAAATGAGAAAAATCGTTAAGCATTGGAAAAGTGGGCATTCAACTTACATCGACTTACGCATGCTTTGACAAAGTATGCATATATGCACATATGTATATACAGATATATTTATCTACGTACTCATATTAGACTATTGGTGATTCGTCTTCATCCACATGCATGTAGACTATATTGGCTGGCCTGCGTTAGTATAAGAGTGCTCTGCGTCTCGCTCTCTTTAGCATGCAATATTTCGATATGCAATGCAATTTCGATGTACTCCAATTACTTGCCTGAGTGTGAGTGTGAGTGTGAGTGAGAGAGCTCTACATTTGTATATCTTTATACTCTTTCATGTGAAAGCCTGCGATATGCATTCCAATCGGAAAGTACCCCATTTGTATGCTCGTTAGTGTATATCTCAACGCCGCATCAATTGAGTAACATATTTATTTTAATTGATTCAAATTCACTGTGGTCGGCATTAGATATGTTGTTGATTTAGTTTTGTTTTTTGTTTTTTTTTTTTTTCTATATACATACATATACATTCTTTTTGGGTGAGGGACGCACCCGAAGTGCCCCACTTGGCCAAGGTCACGCGGCCCCAAATTCGAACGGAAACATATGGCTTAATATATTTAAGTGATATGCATGGGTGGTTATATATGGAAAGCGAATCTCTTGAGAAGTCGAACAGCTCAATGTGCAGCTGCAACGGAAATGGGAGCAAGCGCAACAAACCGGAAGTGACATAATGCTAAACAAGTGCTAAGCCATTCGTAAGCCTTCCATTAGAGTTAAGGATAAGGTAATTGGAGTGATCGACTCCCTCTCTGTCGCTTTCATTGGGTAGATATGCTTAAAGTGTATAAGAGATTCTTAGCTTTGCTGACGTATAAGAGATTCCTAGGTTTGACTTTGTAGACTTAAGGATAGCTGAGTTAGGGCTTGGCATGAGTGCGAACGAGACAGCGAGTGAGTGGATGAAAGAGTAGAAGCAGAACTAATCATATGCCCTATATATTTATCTCTTTATGTGTAAGTATGTATGCACATATGTATGTATGTGTGACTGTACTCTTAGTAGYTATTAATCTTGGTACACAGTTTAGCTGCTAT